CGGTCAAAATCAAATTCAGTGCAGGCAGCCAACATTTCCGAGACTGTAAAACATTCATGTATGCAAGATAACTGTATTACAGAGGAAAAAATACACCTGAAGGTCTACTTAACGTTAGATTGACAGTTTTATTTTGTCCAGGCAGTCAAACGAGCACAGAGAGGATCCATTAGCTGGGTTTTATTTTGGTGAATCTGCAAAGGAAGAAATATGAGTGGCCAGCTGCTGCATGCAAATTGGACTCAGGAGAAAAGCAATGAAAGAGCGCTGTGAGTGGATGGAGGGGGTGATGAAGCAGACATTATTACTGCGTGAGTCGGAGTGAGGAGGAAAATAAAAGGAAAAGCAGAACAAGTGACGAGATAGGAACCAAACTACTGTTTACATAAAAGAATTAAAGAACAAAAATTAATCAGCAGGATGTGAGGAAATGTATTTCAAAGAAAAAAAAAGAAAAACTTAATTGAACACAGACAATAAACACAGAGCCGAGCAAACGAAAGAGGTGCCAGAGGGGGCGAAAGCATCACAGGAAGAGTCGGGAGGAAACACGGAGACTTTCATATCCTGATGGAGATCCGTCTGAGGAAAGGGAAGCATGACGCTCCACGCGACACCCACTGATGCAGCACGGAGATACCAGGCTACAGCCGGTGCATGACTGCAGGCCTCAGCATCCCCGAGGAAAGAAAAACTCGTCTGTAACTGTGGAAACAACAGGGCTGCAGCATCTTCATGGCAACTAAAGCCAAAAAAAGTTTAATTTGGAGCGAAAAATCAGAGAGGCTGAGACGGTCTGAGCGTGTGCAGAGAAGGGAGAGTGGATGATGAAGATGGAGCTGCAGACAGCAGGAGAGGAGGAAGACCTCAGAGGAGGTTCATGGATGTGAGAGGAGGACAAGGAGAACATGCAGAGGGCTAGGAGGATGTTGGGATAGGAAGAGCTGCAGCAGATGATCAGCTCTGGAGATCCCTAAAGGGGGTCACTGGAAAAAGAAGAAGAAGAAGAAGAAGAAGAAGAAGAAGAAGAAGAAGAAGAAGAATAGAAAGGGCAGAATAAAGAAGTTTTATCAGAAAACATACCAAACACAAAGAGCGAGTGAGGGTGAGTAAAGCCCGAGGACACACGCAGACTCAAACACACCAGCTAACAAAGCTGGTTTTCTTTGTGTTAGCTGGCTAGCACAGGCTTCCTGCTGCAGGCTCTGAGCATGCTCACATAAAAGGATGTGTCATGTGACCCTACACACAACATCAAATGAGCATGTGACAGTGAAATGCAGCACTGCGCTGCATGCAAGTCCTGCACAAGGAGATCATCTGGAAACACAAACATCAGCAGTACTGAGTGCAAATCTGCACATTATGACGTGAGAGCACCGATTGGCTGACTGGGAACAGGTAACACACAGGTGACTCTAAAGAGGCGATCACTACGACGATTACGTGAGGAGGAAGCGAAACTGAGAGTGAGGAAATGACCTGAAATACAAGCCCAGAGAAGGATCAGGGCGCTGAGGAGCACAGGAAGTACAAAGAAAGAACACCACAAAGGACCCTTCTTTCAAAATAAAACCGGAAGTAAACTGAAAGAAGGACCAAACTCAGAGAGTGCTCACAGAGCCTGAGATGAGATGCAGAGAGGAAAGAAAACGGAGAAGACCTGAGGACTGCAGCAATAATCTTATAATCATTATTCACAAACACAAAGGACGAGAAAACGAAACATCACATCAGGAAACGCAGGTGACACAAAAACATCCAACTGTCAGCAGAAACGTGTGGAGCAGGAAGAAAAGAGCCGCCAATGAAAACGACCTCATCAAACACAGCAACGAGGAACAAACTTTCAAAATAAAAGTCCAGTGTCAGCAGCAGATCTGTGACAGGCGAGTCTCAGCTCATCATTAACTCGTCTGCCTCTGGAGCCTCGCTGCAGACAGCAGGAGAGCTGGTGGGCGCTCGCAGCCCACACACACTCTCCACCGTGATACTGTTCTACAACAACACACAGAGACAAACACTCAGGCAGGCGCTGACAGCGAGAGGTGGTGGGATGTAAATGAAAGCCTGTCAGGTGTGTGTGTGTGTGTGTGTGCGTGTGTGCGTGTGTGTGTGTGTGTGTGCGTGTGTGTGGTGTGGTGTGTGTGTGTGTGTGTGTGTGTGTGTGTGTGTCGCACGCTGCAAACACCAACTTTAGTGGGAACCACCCACAACCTGTAAATAAAGACGGCAGCAGCTTCCAGGTCTGAGAAGTGGAACTGATGCCAAAGTGCAGCTTCTCTCAAACAGCCACAGGGGGCCTGATACACTGAAGGCTCTGACTCCATATCTACTTTGTAATACTCTAGGTACACAAAAGTAGGCCTGCAGAGCGAGAGCCAAGTGCTCTAATAGGGTGATATGGTACTACAAGGTCATTAAGATAAGATGGGGCCTGATTATTTAAGACCTTGTATGTGAGGAGCAGGATTTTGAATCCTGGATTTAACAGGAAGCCAAAACAGGAGAAATCTGCTCTCTCTTTCTAGCCCCTGTCAGGACTCTTGCTGCAGCATTTTGGATTAGTTGAAGGCTTTTCAGGGAGTTTTTAGGACTTCCTGAAAAGATAATGTGATGTTTCTATTTGTAGAGATGTTGCACAAAGGGAAGAAAGCAGTCCTGCATATTTGTTTATGACCTTTGTAACCAATCATAAAGGTCCAAAAGTAAAACTGGGCAGCAGCTCTGAGTAAAACCTTGTTTCCAGAAAAAGCTTCACTCAGAGTTAAAAGTAGAACAAACGTGACTCCAGCACAAAGTGAGTGAGTGCAGGAAACTGTCAGGAGCAAACACTGAGTCATTACAGGTACAAATGTCTACACTCGCACAGGAAGTGCAGCATCAGGTGGTTCTCTGGCGGAAAGCTGAGCCGACACACAGACGTGTGAGCGGCAGAGGCGCGTCAGGGAGCCGAAGGTTACTGCAGTGTGACGTGTCCTGGAAACTGAAGAACTGAGGCTGAGCATCTGATTACTCACAGCGCCTTCAAACGCTGCTGCTGGTCGGACCATCTTTGATTCAGAAAATCCATCTGCTTCCACTTCCTGCACACCAGAACCCGGCAGACTTTACAGCCATCCATTTAACTCAGTTATGTTTCCAATAAGATTTTATTGAGCTTATGAATATAATAGTTCTGTGTATGTTACTTAAACACAGCATTTCAATCTATTTAGCTGAACCATGAGTGGCTGCAGTCAGAGACATCCTGGTCACACACGAGCAGATAAACTAAACTAGCAGGTTGGATTCCCGAACCGCGTCGAGTGTTTGGTGTTGGAGGCCTCTGAGGTGGAGCGGCCAGCCTGCGCGAGGCTGACGAGGCCCTGCAGCGCTGCAGGCGCCAAAAAAACTCTGAGTCCAAACTGGTCGTCTACGCGCTGCCCACCGTTAACAGGAGAAAACAGCCAATCGTCACTCATCATACGTGTGTCCACGACAACATAAAGACTAACACGTGCAAACGAATCATGTGATGTGAAAGCCGTCGACGTGTTTCAGGGGCGACTTCATCCGTGGAAGGAAAAGCCGGTGAACACACTGCATCACTTATGAATGCTTCATGCTTCCTCACTGCTGAAGAGGCAAATGTGGAAAATGACAAAGGAAAGATCAGAGAGGAGAATGAATCTGCACGCCGTCCTCTGCTTCCACCTGTGCAGGTGAAGCGACCCGTGCTGCCGGCTCCACTCGTCTGCTCGCTTGTAATCAGACCTTCACTGAAGCAGCAGAGATGAAGACGCAGCCGCACATTCATGCTGTGCATCCTGGTCCCAGACAACAATGACAACAACATGAGCTAACATGTGGCGGCTTCATGCAGGAAGCATCATTCAAAATAACATAACCCTAACCCTTCACACTGACCTGCTCACATCTTTGTGTTTTTACTGATTCTTATTAAATTCTGCTTTTTTAAAAAAAGCTACAGCGACGACTCGCTCTGTGCCAGTCTGTGACAGCTGCAGGAGTTTCCCAGATTAGTCCCAACTTATTTCCAAAATACAGAGTGATGAAAATACAGAATGATGCCTGACTTCATAAAAAATTGTTTTATTTAAACACCTAAGTTGTAATCTAGCAGTAAAATCTGTCTGGAGCTCAGTGGTAGAGCAGGTCATGTGCTAATCGGAGGGTTGGTGGTGCTGTGAAGCACCAGCAGCGCCATATTAAAAACCCTCATGAACGCACGCAGAGACTTTGTACCTGGATTTATTTCTAAATATGAAACCCATGCAGAGCAGTGAAGTCCAGGTCTTCCTAAAGCTGTGAGCCTAACACCAGGACACGCAGCAGGAGGACAGAGCCTGAAGGGTCTGGTATCCTGGATCAGCCCCAGTACAGGCTTCAGGAGGCAGGAGCTGCTCTCACTTTTCTCTTCAAAGAAACCACGACACGGCGCTCTGACTGCGCAGCGTCACAGCTGCTGTGTGGCTGATACGTCACCTTAGACATGACGGACCTGAAGCTGTGGTGTTACCCACAAACTAAGCTCCCAGCTTTAATCACACCCAACGAAGCTGCAGCCTTCAGTCTGTAAAACAACTCACTGTTGTTGCACCATCAGCCCATCAGTCACGAGAACAGAGTTAAATCTGATTGGTTCTCAGGACGTCTGCGTGGCTGATGAACAGCTGCTCATAATTCAGATGTGAGCCAGGTGTTTGCAGCTGGAGCGTTTAGCAAAAACTCAATTAATCTATTATGGATGTTTGCGTTCCTCGCTCAAGAATCGCAGCAGACATGAACCTCAGCTCCAAACAGCATAATCACATCAAACGACTGGAAATGACCCTTTATGTGTCTGAGGGTAAAGGTGTGTCTCATCACATCAGCTCTACTCATGTCAGTGACTACAATAAAGAAACCTCTAACAGTCCTGCAGCGCTGCCCTCATTCAGAGCCACAGATCTGCAGGAGGACGAGCTAACCCTTTAAGGTGCAGGTAGCTTACGTACTCTGGGCTCTTGGGGTAGAAGGGCAGGGTCACATGGCACAGGTCGCTGATGTCACAGGCGGTGGGTTCGGCGGAGATGGCCTGCCGCTTGCTGCGGTGCTGGTCCGGCTGCAGGACGAGGCTCTGCTGCTGCGCCTGGACCTGCTGGGCGGTGGCGGGCCGGATCACCGAGCGGTACTTGTCCAGCTCATTCTGCAGCCTCTGGATCAGCTCGTCCTTCTGGTCCAGCTCCAGCTCCAGCTCGTCTATCAGGGCGTCGCGTTGCCGAAGTTCCTCGATCTTCTCCTGCAGGGCATACTGGAGGTCCCGCAAGGTCCCCATCTGTCCTTCAGGGGATCCACAAGGAGTTCTTTTGAACTATCTGGGGTACACCCCCAGGTTCCACTGGAATACTTTCTTCTCCTAAAGAACTCGACTCTTCGAATCCTCTGGGGTCTTTGAGGATTTTGAGCACCTAAAAGTTTTGAATTCCAAAAGTCATGTTTCTGCACAGTACCTCCTCCTCAGAGTTTCCTGTTTTTATGGATCTTCAGGATCCTTGAAGTGCTCATCCTGATTGGTCAAAGTGTTAGTCTATGACCAGTTACAGCAACTCTTAAATATTCTTACACTCAGGATCTTTGGTACACCCGCACTTACTTTGTTTCTTCTGCCACATTCAGCATTTCTCGGGGGTCACGTAAAAAATTAGAAAGACCTTCAGGAAGCTTCAGATTCAGTCTTTCAGCGTCTTCAGAAGCCTCCTGGGATGTCATGTAGTTCCTCTGGTTTCAGCTCAGTGTCTGAGAAGCTCTCTTCACATCCCTCCCTCAAAACCGTTGAGTCTGGCAACTCACTGAGGTTTGTCTGAGGTAATGCTGCAGGTTCTTCCAGGAGGATAATTCAGGTGTGTCGTTAGTTTCACTCACTTTCTTCTCAGTATGTACTGAAGAACCTCCAGGGTCTCCCTGAATTCCTCAGATGGGGTTCACCAGAGAGCAAACACCTAGTTCTGGTTTTAGGATAGTTTCCTTCTTTGTGGCAGTTTCGGGTTTTTCCCATTGAAGTCTTTAAAGTTCTCTGAGTTCCTCGGTCTTCCAAGGAAAACAAAATTCCTGATGATGCAACTGGAGAAACGTTTGGTCCTCAGGGTGTGACCTCACATCCTCCCTGTTTCATCTGAGCAGATGTGGAGATGAGTGAGAGGAAACCTGAGCAGACACTCACCAGCTCTCAGCGTCCTGCCTGCAGAAGCAGCTGTACCTCCAGGAAACATCTGATCAATGAGAGACGACCAGAGAGACGACAGCGTGGAACAAAGTTTAAGTGAAGAATCCACAGGTCCTCGCGTGAAGTCTGGAAGGCTGGGTCAGCACAGCGCCGTCCGCAGAAGCGAATCCACGCAAACACACGGCGTGAAACATCAGCCTTGCTCTCCCCCGCTCCTCCTGCTGCGGGCTGAGCGTCACTCAGGTGCACACGAGCTGTTTTCAAACCGATAAGCGAAAAAACGCAAAGAGAAACGTGCGGGAGGAAGGAGACGCTCTCACTCCGCTCTCCTCTCTCTGCCGCGCACCGGAGGACGGAAACGTTGCCGCTTCATCCCGGCGGCACTTCAGCGAGTTACCGGAGCTGAGGCTGAACGACACGAGCCACGAAAAGTTGGTCTGCCTCAGCTCCTCCTCCTCCTCCTCACTCACTCAGAAACATTTGAAGCTTCAGGGTTTAAAACCTGAACATTTACGGCTGGTGTCAGAGCCGGAGTTATGTTTAAGAAGCCCAGGGGCAGCCTCCAACCCCCCAACGCTCACACACACACCTTTATTTCCCATCAGGGAGAAGCACACTGAGACCAGCTTCATCAGCAGGGAAGAGGGCGGAGCCTAAACAACATCCAGGATCTCCTCAAACACGCATCATAAAGGAACCTCCACCTTCACCTGTAAATGTCATGTTTGAACTTCGCCTTCACACTGCTCCGCTCTCTTTATATTTCTCTCACTTTTCACCCTCGCGCTCATTTCCTCAGACCACAGACTCAGCGGACGCTGAGACCTCTCAGGGTGGAGTTCAGGTGGGAACACGAGTTCAGTCCTGGACCCGGGCTGAGTCGGAATCAGAAGCTGGTGGAGGCAGACAGGTGTGGTTCTGATGGATGTTGCTGGAGCACTGTGTGCAGGCCTGCAGCTTCCTGAGTGAATGTGGTGATGTGTCCTGTGCACACGGCGTGCTGCAGGTCCACGGTTCGATTCCCCCTGTGGCACCTTTGCCTCCGTGCTGTGGTCTCTCTGCACGCTGCAGGGGTCGCTTCATGTCAGTCGGTCTGTTTTGTTGTTTGTGGAAATAAAGTTCTAGTAATTGGAGCAGAGCGGGCTCATAAAATCAGACACTTCCTTCAAAACCACATTTTTATGGACGTGCTTTTATGTGATGTTGTCTTCTATAGTCTTCCTTTATGATCCTTTATCAGCTCATCATATTTAATGGGCTTTGTAAAGTTATTCATTTTTTATTTTTTAAGTATTTCTCTGCAATAATTGTCTCGTAGCTGAATTTTTTATTATCTTTTAGCAGTGGAAAAAAAACATTTCATAGAAAAACATAAACAGCGTTCGTGTCTTTTATAAATAAAGTTACTAAAGAGCAGGTAGAGCGGCTGAAGGCCAGCTCAGGACTCCTGCTGTCACGTGGTGCCCTCTGCTGGACGATCACTGTCATTACAACAAACTGCAGCCAAACTGTGGAACCAGCTTCCAGTTTGGATTCAGGAGACAGACACTATCTCTACTTTCAAGATTAGGCTTCAAACTTTCCTTTTTGCTAAAGCATATAGTTAGGGCTGGACCAGGTGACCCTGAATCCTCCCTTAGTTATGCTGCAATAGGTGTAGATTGCCGGGGATTCCCATGATGCACTGGGTGTTTCTTCTTCACTCAGTAAGTATTAACAGACCTCTCTGCACTGAATCACACCTGTTATTAATCTCTGTCTCTCTTCCACAGCATGTCTTTATCCTGTCTTCCTTCTCTCACCCCAACCAATCACAGCAGATGGCCCCGCCCCTCCCTGAGCCTGGTTCTGCCGGAGGTTTCTTCCTGTTAAAAGGGAGTTTTTCCTTCCCACTGTCACCAAAGTGTTTGCTCATAGGAGGTCATATGATTGTCAGTTTGGAGTTTTCGCTGTATTAATGTGGGGTCTTTATCTTACTATAAAAAGCATCTTGATGTTGTGAATCAGAATATTTTATTAATCCCAGAAGAATCGATGTGGGTCACAGTCGCTCCAACACAATAACAGTAACAGACTGAACTACTTAAATAATACAATATAGCACAAAGTTCCAAAATATAAGAAATAGCTCTAATATATACAAAAAGCTCAGTTATAAATATCCAGAATAGTACAGACGTGAAATATGTGAAATATTTATGATTGACATTTGACTCTAACCTGTGAAACTTGTTTGTTACTGCTCTGCAGAGTGTGTGCAGATAGTGAGAGTGTAACTCCTGCAGTGTGTTCTCTGCATCAGATGGAGGAGTTGTACAGAGAGATGCACAGGCAGGAATGACTTCCTGTGTCATTCAGTGGTGCATTATGGGTAACCTCAGTCTCTCACTGAGTGTGCTCCAGTGGGAGGTGTTGTCCAGCATTGTCCTTATCTTGGGTTGAACTTGTATGTAACTCTGACATTTGCAGGCTACCATTGTTTATTTACAGGATGTATGCTCCGCACTGCAACCCCACCACCTTTACTGTCCACACAGCACAGTAAAGGTGGTGCAGGTCTGTGACGGCTGCTGGGGTCTTTCTGGTTTCCACTGTGGGCGGCCTCTACTGTGCAGTAACATGCTGAGCTGTGCGATGGTTAAACGTGAGCACTGAGAAATAAAAACATCTAAATATGGATCTGTGACGCGTCAGTATCCAGATTACTCTTCACCTCATTGACCTAACTGTGGAGCTCTCATTCACACACACCAATCAATAAATTATAAACACAGTGATAATTTAACGAACCACGAAAAATTTAAATATATGGCTGGTTATGATTTCTTTTTCAGAATAAAAGCACAGGTGTTGATGTGAATCAGCTGTTCTTCAAACTTCTCTGACAGGTTTGTTGTTGTGTATCAGTGACATCACTCTCAGGTGTGTGAGCTCACCTCTGGGTTTTGTTGAATCTCTGTAGCTCTGCCTCCTACTCACACTTGTGCACCTTCCTCCTCAGGAAGCTCCTCCTCCTGCAGCCTGCGCTTCACCTCCCCGACCTGCTCAGCGTTCAGCTGCCACCCCACATCCACCTCCAGCCCACTCATCTCACCGGAGCTGCAGCTGGGTCAGAGAAGTCCCCCCCGCAAAATGCTCAAACTACAGTTGAAGCAGAGTGGAGGTCCCAGTAGAGCTGGGACTGTGCCTTTCAAAATAAAATGTTTGACTGTTTAGACTGCAGATCCAGACAGGAAGCAGAAAATGAATAGATGACAACTTATAATAAAGATCAAACGTACGTTAAAGATTTCACCTCTAAATAAAACTTTAAAAAACTCGACATTTCGTTTTTTTAGATTTGGGAACCACGGGGAACATCTGGCCACATGTGTTGAAGAACAGAAGTTAATTTAAACCTTTAAAAGCACCTAAAGATCAGAACCACAGCTATGTGGACCCCACAGTTCATCTGAACTCAAAGGTCAGGTCTGATGGTTTTATCTCTTTACCAAACCTAACGCCGACTGCTGGGAGCGTCGATCAGCTGAATCCTGAGACACGTTTGTTTTCAATCAGAAGGTTTCCTCGTGGACTCAACTTTTTCAGTCTGAAAGGTTACAGAGACATTTCTGACGTTTTGGGACTCCAGTGAACCTCAGTGAGAACCGTTATCCACACATGGAGAAAACCTGGAACAGTGCCGAACCTTCCCAGGAGCGACCGGCTGGCCAAAATTATCCAGGAGGTCACAGAAGACCCTAAAACAACATCCAAAGACCTGCAGGGCTCATGCGGCTCAGTTAAAGTCAGAGGTCACGATGAACAATAAAAAAGAGGCTGGGCAAAAATGGCCTCCATGGGAGACTCCAAGGAGAAAACCAACGCTGACCAACAAGATCACAAAACAAGTTAGAATGCTTTCCTTTATTGTGGTGGGCAATCGGCGTAAGATCTCACAGGAATCCTTCGTTATTCTGAGGATTACATTTCCACTTGCAGTGTGCCCATATAGTGGTAAAATTATACAAACAAAATAGAAGAACCTCAACACAATTAGTCTGCATCTTAAATTTCCCAAATGAAAGGAATACAGAAATATATTTCAGAACTGTACATAAAACAATGTGTACTCTAAACAGTGTGGCACAGTCACATACCTGCATTCACAACAAAAAGGCAACAAGTTAGAATGCTTTCTTTTATTGTCGTGGACAATCAGCGTAAGATCTAAATGGAAAGGCAACAACAGAGTTAGCTAACTGTGCTCCCATTTTTTCCCTCTCTTCCCAAAAAAGAAATCTCACATAAACGTGCATTCAATTCAACATGAGGACATGAGAAATGACCCGCAACAAATGATGTTTAAACAACAAAAATAATCGGGTCAGCTTGTATTACCGTTACAACCAGCGATATGATTTTTCTTCCCCACGACATTTGCGCATTCCTTACCTCGCAGGAATCCTCCATTATTCTCAGGATTACCCAGAATCCCTTGCCCTTTGTGAGTGTTGCAGGGTGACAACAGTATGTTGGTGCCAATGTCCCATTTAGGGGGATTTAACTTCGACTCTATTTAACTATGTTACACAAGCACTTTGGCGACAGTGGGAAGGAAAAACTCCCTTTTAACAGGAAGAAACCTCCAACAGAACCAGGCTCAGGGAGGGGCGGGGCCATCTGCTGTGACCAGGCTAGTGGGAGCCATGCTAGTGTTAGCTATTCTAGTGTTAGTTATGCTAGTGTTAGCTATGCTAGTGTTAGCTATGCTAGCGTGGCTAACACTAGCATTCCTCGCCTTTATCAGGTGAATCAGATGCACACTTGGAGAATGGGGCCTCAGTTTCACTGCAGAGTGCCTTCATGTTCGTCATATATCCATGCTGGACATTTTAAGACAGGGAACGTCCAAACAGTTCTCAAACTGTTGCTGTAAGGACAAAACGACTTACCGAAAGCTAAATGAAGAAGCTAGTCCAGTAGCTGCTAGTTCAAGGAGTACAATGAGCATTTTAAATGTCAAAAGACAAAACAATTTATGTTCCATGTTAAATTTTTATGTCTATTTACTTATTTTTATTATATTTAAAAAAATTAAAAAAAAATAAACATACAGATTTTGAAAATGATTTTGGATTTTTTTTTAAAAATGTAGTTATTTAATAATCATTGTCTGACTCTCCTGCTCCTCCCTAGTTTTTAACACGGGGATGTTTTGTAGAGGCAGCGTTGGGCCTCTAGTGGACGTCAGAAGAACTGCAGGGTTCAGGCCTGGAGCCGAGGTCTGAGTCAGAACCAGGACCAGGTTTTAGGCCCTGGGTTAAAAACCTGACCACATGTTTGTGTGCTGTGAAGAGACATTTGCAGGACACTCCACAAGTATGTGTGTGTGTGTGTCTGTATTTGCATGCATGTGTGTGTGTCTCCACAGATAGCAGCGGGTTAAACATTAACGCTGGGCAGCTTGTAAAGCTAACACGAAGACAGTGAACCTTTGGAGTTTGATATGATGTGATCACACACACACACACAAACGCACACACACACACACACACTCACACACAGAGGCCCCTGATGACACGTGAACACACACTCGGCGCTCAGAATGACACAGCTCTGATCGGAGGGAGGTGATCTCTGAAATTGCTCAGGTGAGTTTTTGTCTCTCTTTCATGCAAATAAAGTTTTTTAGGTTTGAATTTTATATTTTAAATACAGAGAGAGAGAGAGAAAGTGTGAACAGGTAAAGTGAGGGTCGTTCTTCCTCTCTTCTTCGCTGGTGTCTGGTGAACAGTAGCTGTCACAGAGGCTAAAAGCAGCTAGCTGAGCAAACAGGCCGGCCGGGGTTAATGGGTGTTTTAATGGAGAG